CGGCCCGCTGCGGGAGGTCGTAGTGGCCGCCGGCGCTCTGCCCGGGCTCGTCAGCGTCGCAGTCCGCGGGCCGGAAGGTGGAGCCCTTCCTCGCGACCGTCCCGGCGCCGATCCCGAGAGGCTGCTGGTACTCTGAAACCGCAGGAGGGGGACGCAGGCTTGCATCGCTCCCACGCACCGACGCACCCGCGCTTGGCAGAGGTGGTGCTCGGCTTAAGGGAGGGCACGCTCTGCTGGGCGCCCTTGGGTGTCCCGGGCACCGTTGGAAGACCAGATGGGAGAGCCGAGGATGCCACACCTAGGGCCTTACGGGACCACGATGCCTGCGCTAGGAAGGCTCAAAGGATCTTCTCAAGGAGAAAGGGAGACATCACGTTGAACTCCGGAGCACGGGGCGAAAAATATTTTAAGGAGGAGATGGCTCGTAAACTGGCTTTGGAGATGCTCAATTCTAAATTGTGGAGGTGGAGGCAACACTGTGAGGAAAGGGAGGAAAGAGCGAGCACGAAAACAAGAGTATGAAGGACACAGGGCAGTGTGTTTAATAGGATCTAGAGAGCAAGAAACTAAAGTATGAGGGCCACACAGGACAGTGTGTTTTAATAGGATCTAAGACCAAGAAAATAGAGCGTGAAGGACACGGGACAGTGTGTTTAATAGGATCTAGAGACCAACATAGTAGGTCAGAGCCTAGTGATGACGGTGAGGATCAGGAAGGAGCCTCACACTGCAGAGATCTTACTCTGTGCCAGGCACTCTTCTAGGATAGCAAGACATAATTAATTAAATTTTCAAATCGGTAGGAACTATTACTGCATTTTACAAATGTGAAGCCAAGGCAGAGAGAGAGAGAGAGAGAGAGAGAGAGAGAGAGAGAGAGAGAGAGATTGACTTTTCCCAGGTCACACAATCAAGCAATGGATTCAGGATTTGAACACATTCTGAGTATATGCTGTCAAATGTGTGTCAGGCCATGAAAAACACTGAGTGTCTTGCTAGGACGTTTGGTTTAATTCTATAGAAAACTAGGCTGGCACAGTTAGAGCTAACTGTGGAGGCAGACTGAAGAAGGAAAGATCAAAACAGAAAAAGCAAAGAGGTCACAAACTAGGGGAGTGGGAAGGCCACACTTCGGAGACAGGAATCAGAGGAATTTGTCACCAATGACATGGGTTGTGAGGAAAGTGGGGAGCCAGAGACCCTGCCTAGAGGGTAAGCCTGGGTGAGTCTGGGAGGCATTTGGGAAGCCACTTAAGAAAGGAAGGCAGAGCATGTGTGATGAGGGGTGGGAAAATGGATTCAATTTGGGACACACTGAGGAACTGGTGACACCTGCAGGTAGAGGCATCCAGCAGGCTGCTGAGAATTATGGAGTGACTGGAGGGAAGTCTGGGCATGGACAAAAAGGACAAATGTGCAAGGAAGGTTGCTGCTGGAAGCTCCAGAGGGTGTAAGACTGCCTGGGGGAGAGAGTGTAAGTGAGCGAGGGCAAGATAGGACCTGGGGCCATATTTAAGGAGCCTGAGAACCACTCAGGGAGGAAGGAGGAATGGCTTTACTGGAAGGTGGAAGAGAATGAAAGGAAGAAGAAAACAGAAAAGAGGTCTCTCTTTGGGTCACTCCCAAGGAACAAGAAGATGGTTTTTGGTTGGAGAGACGCTCTCCTTGTCCAAAAAAGGGTGGCTCAAGCAGTCTTTACACTGGCACTTCTCAGTGTTGTGCAAACTGATGTGCAAACACATTACCTGGGAGTTTCTGGTTTGGTAGGCCTGGAGTATGGCCTGAAAGTCTGCTTTTCTAACAAGCTCCCAGGTGAACCCTAAACTGCAGGTCCTCAGACTGCATTTGAGTCGGTAAAGCCAGCAAATGCAGTGCTACTCAAAGTGTGGGCTGTGGGCACCTATATATCTAAGAACTTTTTGTGACAGAACTATAGAGATAGGTACAGAAATTGAGATTAAGGGTTTAGAAACTTACAGCAATTTGAGAGTAATTTTTTGTCCATTTTGTATGTTTGCCTTAAAATTTCATTATTACTAGTAATTCATATTGTTTTATGAAAGTATTCATCCATGATGAATTAGAAATAATAATTTAAAAAGTAAACAGAAACCAAAATCCAGATCTTTCCTTACAAACAGTTTGGGAAGCCTGACTCTTGATGATTTGCCAGAGATACAGAGGCGATCTAATACTGGGAGAGTTCCTTCATCTCCTATCTCCTCTTTCCCAAGGGCAAGAACTGTATTTAATTCATCTTTCTAGTCTCTCTAGTACCTTAACCAAAGCCTTTATAACAAAAATAGATTAAGGGCATTAGTGTACTCTATCACTATGAATGTTATATCCCCTGCTGGTGAAGAGATAGGCTAAATGAGGCTTTTGAGTAATATTTCAGTGTCAATTTGTAACTCTGGGCCAAATGCAGAAAAAAAATACATTTCTGATTTATTGGATCCTATCCAAACAAAAGGATTTTGCCTTATTTCCTGTGTCCCCTCCTCCACAAGCAGCATCTCCAATTTAAAGGCACAGTCCTGAGGATGTAACACTTACCTGCCATATGGCTTGTGATGAGATCTAACTTTTGTGTCATCTCCTTCTCATTATCATAGCTGATGGTAAACTCAGCTGACTGATGTCTGGCAAAAGGATATTTAATCTGCTTCCAACAGTCTGTAATAAAGTTAACATACAACAAACCACTGTATCAAAAAAGTAAGGCACATCCTCCACAATGTGTTCCTCCATGAGTCAGAGGTCAGGCTGCCTCTTGATGGCTAACAGTGATATATGCACAGCCATGGCTTTTCAGGTGTGTATGCTGGTTAACAGCATAATGAGGTCATTAACGACAACAGCAAACACTATCCCAATTATGCTGGCCACGGTGCCTTTAAAATGTATTGTGTCCCCATCAGTTCTCAGATTCTCCCTATGTGAGACTATCTGGGCATGGTCTCCCATAATCTGCATCCATACAGTATCCACGATGTAGAGAAGAGTATGCAGCTGGCATTTAGAAACTGTGGAGGCAGAGTCCCAGGTGATCCCTGCATCACTTTCTCAGGGGTCCTTCTGCATTGCCCTCCCTCTGGACCATGGCTAACTTATTGCTTGAGCATCCTGTATCCTAAAGATTCTCTGAAACTGCACATGAGCCCTGTGTGGTCCTTTTCTCACTTTTTCAGGGTGGAAAATACAGTGGGGGCCTGCAGATCCATATACAGGAGTACATTCAGTCACTGAGGGATTCTGTCACTTCTCTTTTATGACAGTGTGGTAGTCTACAGTACAGTATCCCCCTCCAAAAAAAAATTGACAAATGATGAGAATGGTATTGAAGAAGGTGAAGTGGCGATATAAACTGAATCAAAACAGACAGGATACAATAAATTCCTTCCTTGCAGATTTGCTAACTTAAAGGTTATAAAGTTTTTTGTTTTTGAGTTGGAATCTCATTCTGTTGCCCAAGCTGGAGTGCAGTAGCATGCTCACGGTCACCCCAGTGCCGACCTGCTGGATTCAGGTGATCCTTCTGTCTCAGCCTTCCCAGTAGCCGAAACCACAGGCGCGCACTACCATGCCCGGTTAATTTTTTGATTTATTATAGAAATGAGGTCTCACCAAGTTACCCAGGCCGTACTTGAACCCATGGGCTCAGGCAATTCCCTCACCTTGGCCTCCCAAAGTGCTGGAATTACAGATTTGAGGCGCCGCATCCGGCCAAAGTTTATTTTTTTTAACTATGTAAGTGTGGGCCACCAGCCTCCATATGCTTTCAATGGACAGATCCTGTACCTTCCTCAAAGACAGAATAAAACTGTAGAGTTTTTAACCAACCTGTTTTCTGAGCCTCAGCTGATCCATATGGATATCCTTTCTTCTTTCTCCTATCAACACAAAAGAGTCCCACTGAATATATATAAGCCAATTTATCTGTCTCCCTTTATCTGTAAAACATGAGGACTGATGTGAGGATTAAATGAGACAGCAGTTGCCATGTGCTTAGAAAATCATAGGAATATGTAAAATTATATATAAATCTGCCTCACTAATTTTATTTTGTATATTATAAATCAATGCCTTATCATCTTATTTTCTCACTAGCTCATGTAGTCAGTAAAATCCTGAAGCAATTCCTTATGACTGCATGCTCTCATATCATCTTTATTTACTATACTTTCGTCCAAAATTGTGTCTTTAAAAGCATTAAACACATTACACTGAAACATGCCTTGACTTGTTTTAACTTTATCTTGAATATCTACCTGAAGCTTAATAACCAGAGATTTTGTAATTTCTCTCACTCTTGTCAGAAACTACTCTTCATTCTATTTACACTAATATACACAATTATAAATTCCAAAGTTGTTGAAAATATTAAAAGAGAAAACTTCAGAATGCTTTCCATTTTTCATTTGGCCCCAACTCCTAAAACGTGTTACAATAAACGGTTTTGGATTCTGGGAAAGAGCACTCATGTGGGTAAACTTTATTCTATTTATTTATTTTTTTGAGTTGGAGTCTTACTCTGTCACCCAGGCTGGAGTGCAGTGGCATGCTCCTGGTCACTGCAGCCTTGACTTGCTGGGCTCAGGTGATCCTTGCATCTCAGCCTTCCAAGTAGTTGAAACTACAGGCACACACTACCATACCCAGCTAATATTTTTGATTTGTTGTAGAGATGAGGTCTCACCAAGTTGCCCAGACTGGTCTTGAACCTGTGGGTTTAGGCAATCCTCTAACCACTACCTCCCAAAATGCTAGGATTACAGGCTTGAGGCACTGCGCCCGACCTAAACTTTATTTTATACAAGAGAACATTGAGGCTTAGGGAGACTGAGTGACTGGGCTGCTTGGTGATCCAGGTGGAACTAGAACACAGGCCTTCTGACCCCCGTTCTAATATTCCTTCCACTCTACAGGTGGGAAAAACATAGACACTTCCAAAGAAATATATCAGTTCCAGAATATTCCCACAACAATGCTCATCGGTTAAGATTTATCAAAGATTTCTAAATGACAAGTACTGTTTATAAAAGTCATACTTGATCCTTTCTACTTCTACCCAACTTGTTTTTGAAATACAAGTTAACGCTTTATCTTGAAAGAAGTCATGCTGCTTTTCTACCCATGAATATCTGAAGAGTAAACTTTTTGGTTTTGGGGCTGTTTGCATAATTACAGAAGAAGTGTTAAAATGTAGAGTCACATACTTTCTAAAGGCTGCGAAGATCCCTATGCCAGCCAGCAACAGGGCAATCAGGAGCACCAAGGGAATAGCCACCATTGTAATGTTTATTCCTGAAGAAGGGGGGAAGGGGAAAGTCACCTGTTACAACATATATGATCAGCAACCAAATGTTATGATCAAAAACTGAACATAGACATGAAAAGCCTTCAACTATTTACTATAGGGGGACAATGAACACAGACTAGGCATTTACTGACATTAGAAAATGAAAGGAGAAGATTCAGAATCCTGGCTAAAGTTTGGGAACACAGAACTTATCTCCTTCCCAACCCCCCACAAAGGGCAGTTTTTATTGTTCCTCAGAGACTGACATTTACTCTGAGCTTGTTACTTGGCCTGTGTTAGACTCCAAAAATCAGAAGGTGGGAGAAGGTTTAAAGCAGGTCCACCCAGCCAGGAATTATCTAGACAAATAAATGTTTAAGTACAGTGTGGAGCTTCTACTTTGGCTCAATAACCTGCCTCTCCAGATGCAGGCGGGTTTGTACCTGTATTATAAAAGACAGCAGCCTGGGGGCTGAAGCCTCATCACAGAGCTGTGGAGCCAGGGCTGAGACCAACGCAGCCATCAGGCTGCCAGTGGCCTTTCCACTAGGTTACCATGCCATGTTTTCTTACAACTCTTTCTACTCTAAAAAAGGAGGCCACTTTAACAGCCACTGAGGCAGGCCCCAGGTTTGTAAAACCTATGCAAACTAAAGGAGAAATATTTGTTCCTCATCCTTCTTTTCTGTGATCCCTAGGAAGAAAATAAACGGATGATTAGGAGCAGAAAAGTGTCGCTCATAAAGAGGAGGAAAAGGAACTCAGAAGGGCACAGACTTATTTAAATAACAGCGGCATTATCCATAACAGCAAAAATTTGGGAGAAACCTAACAACATAAACATCCAACAGTAGGGAAATGGTCAATTACATAATGGCATATCCATATGGAAAAATACTATGACGATATTAGTAACTATGTGTGTCTTTCAGCTATTTAATAACATTGGAAAATGCTCATAATGCAACATTGATTGAAAAATGTATGCTATAGAACAGAATATATGGTATGGAGCCATTTTTGTCTTAAAGTTAGTAATATAAATATAGTTGACCAGATATAGTGAGATATGGTGATCATCTATGGGTGCTGATTTATAGTTGATTTTTCTTTTTTCTTTTTTTTTAGTGAAAAAAGGAGTTTATTAAGCAACAAAGCTCTCTAGAAACAGAGAAGGGCCCCAAAATGGGTTATCCCAATTTTTTTCTTATTTTTAAAAATCTTTCCAAATTTTGTAAAACATGCAAGTTTTTTTATATTCTGAAAAAAGAAATGTACTTTTAATGTTAATTACTTGAATAGATTATACACTTACATGTTCAAATTTCCAAAAGCATAACAGGGTATATGGAAGGGGAGGTCTCCTTCCTACCTCTGTTTCTCCTCCACAGGAAATCACATTATGCTTCTTGACATTCTTCTAGAGATATTGACCTGAATATTTATTCCTTTGCCCCCCTTTTACACAAATGGTGGACAAATGCTAGTGCTACATAGACAGTTCTATACCTCACTTAGTTTTTTTAAGTTGTCAATATATCTCAGACAGCTTTCTATACTACTAACACATTCTTTTTTATGGCTGTGGAGTATTCTGTTCATGGATGTGCTAATATTTTATTTTTCCACAAAATATTTACCTCATGTTTGAAGGGCACATAAGTTTGTTTCTAATCTTTTTCTACTTACAATTTCGCAATGAAAACCTATGGAATACATCATTTTACAAATGTGCAGACATGTCTGGACCACCTATCTCCAGCATTTACATGATAGAAAAAAAATAATTTTGTTGCAGCTACTGTGATATAGGGCGGGGTACCAGTTACAATATTTGAAAGCTTTTTTTCTGGTTAAATCTGAAATAAAGGAATTTATCTAAAAATAAATGTAATTTCACTTGTCACTCTTTTTTGAAAGAGCTTAGATTATAAAGAAAAATATTTTCTGCTTAATGTTAATTAGGCTTATGGCCTTGTGCATTTCTAAGTCAAGAAAAGTTGTTGCTATGTGACCTGAGGAAAAAAGAAAAAAAAATTATAATTTAGAGTTGGGGGTCTTGCTATGCTGACCAGGCTGGTCTTGAACTCCTAGGCTTAATCAATCCCTCCTCCTCAGCCTCCGGAGTAGCTGGGACTACAGGTATGCACCACTATGTCCAGTTAAATTTGTTTTTATTTTTTGTAGAGACAAAGTCTTGCTATGTTGACCAGGCTGGTCTCAAACTACTGGACACAAGTAATCTTTCTGCCTTGGCCTCCCAAAGTGCTAGGATTACGGGTGTAAGATACCATGCTGGCCAAAAAAATCTTTTAAACTATCCAATTTGAGGAGTATGCAGGAATAAACTACCACTGAAGCATTTAAAAATATCAAATTTCTTCTAATATTGCAGAGGCTAAAAAAGTAGAAAAAAAGAAAAAGAGAAAAAATACCAAATTCTTAAAGAAAGCATGATCCTTACCATTGGAGGTAAACAGAAACCGCTTGTCTGACAGGGAACCACTGAAACAATAAAGACAAACACAAGGAGGTGAATTGCTTAACTAGATCTTGGTGACTAATACAGTGCTATATCAAGGGCTCAAAGGGCCTTCCTGCATATGCTTCCTTATTTGTTCCTTACAACATCCCTACAAGGTGACTACTACTGTCTTCCTCATCAGCATTTTATAGATCAGGAAACGCAGGCCTATGAAAGGTAAGCAATTTCTCCAAATTTATACAGGTGACAAGGGGGCAAGACTCTTGAGACATTGCTTTTGAAATCATAATCCTATGCTGTTTTCATCACACTGCATTTATCGAGCAACTTTCCCAAATTTATACAGGTAACAAGGGGACAAGACTCTTGAGACATTGCTTTTGGAATCAAAATCCCATGCTGTTTTCATCACACTGAATTTATTGAGAAGGAATGTGTAAATAAACAGTCTCAGGAACAATCTTAAATCCAGGCAGAAAGGGTAACTGCCCTAAAATCTTTCTCAGCTTCAGGAGTCGCCATAAAATGTCCCACTCATTGTCAACAATCAAGGGCCATTGAGAGAAATGAAGAAGCCTCTAGAATAGATTTTCTCTTTCACATTGTCTACTATCAGCATGCAGGTTCTTTTATAATCTTTGCATGGACTATAAGTAGGCACAATTCATGCATTACAATAGAACAGTCAGATTCACATGGGTCATGGGGCTTGCCCAAGTTCACAGGTAGCAACAAAGCTTGGACAAGAACCCAGCTCTCTTGACACTTAAAGAAAGGTGCACATTGTCACAAAACATATTAAAATTTCATTAAGATTTATTTAGAGCCTCTCTTTTGTCTCATTTTTCTGTTTTCCTCTAATGTTTCTGCACTGTCACATTTGAAATTTGGCTCAAATAAGTCCACGTAATACTGCTGAGAATCTAAGCTCACCCCCATTGCCCTGAAATATTAAAGTTTTGTTGTTGTTGTTGTTGTTGTGATACGTATGGAAAGGATAATTCTGCAGTTAACCCAGGGAAGAAGAGACCAGGGAAAGCTCTACTTTCAACAGCTCTCTGCCTGGCTTTCCTCCATTATCAGCTGGAACATTGTTTCCATTCTATTCTATTCAACAATTAAATATAGGCCACCCAGATAATTTTATAGGTTAATAGCCTCCTTTTTAATAAATGAAAATACCCTAGGGAGGTTAGGGTCCTAAAGCATTCACACATTAGGGTGAATGAATTCAATCAGATTACAGGAAAAAGGAGTTTTCCCAAAGGGCAGACTGATGTAAACAGAAACAATGTCTTCTCATGTAAACAGAAACAAAGTCTTTCTCTTCTGATAGTTAGAACCATCATCCTCTGTATGAGGTCAATCCCTTTTCCTGATTCCATTCTGGTCTCCTCAGATTAAGGAAGTGACTTGACCCAGGATGAATCCCAGAAGAACTCTGGATATTTATTTTAGGGACCCTTCTTCGTCAGCTGCAATACTTTCTTCTCTGTTTTTTCCTGAACGCCAAACAATCATGTGTGGGAACATAAGTTCAATGACCGCATGCATGGTGGTTCCCCAACAGCAAAACAACACAGATAAAAACAACTGTTCCCTGAAGATTTGGAGCTTTAAATGAGTAGAAGGGATGGTATTAACATACAATTAACTCTTTGCTTAGTACAAAAATTCAGTGCAAAACTACAAAGCTAGAAGAATAAAGGGATTTTGATACGATTCTGGACTATCTTCTTCCCCCCCCAAAAATCAGAAAATTAGTTCAAATAACTGTGTAGAATATGGAGCAAAACTTTTTCTAATTCATCAGTGGTTTAGTTTTTTGCACTCTTCTTTTTGCATGGGAGTTTAATTTCATATTATATAGAAATTATACATATGTATTCTATATATAAGTTGATGCAGCAGAAGTAATTGAGAGTACAAAGTCTTACTTTCATTCAATAGTTTTAATAATTTTTCTTCAATAAGATCCAAGTTAAACTTTTTACTATCTTATTTTCCTACAAAAGAAGCATTCAAGTGTACACAAACATAGTCAAGAGATTCCAAAACCAGATTTAAAACTGAAGGCCAGTTCTTCCTTCCTATTTGGAGAGAGCAGCACCCATCAAATTTAGGCTAGAGCCTGTTATCTTTCTTAAATAGCACCTCACTATATGTAGAAGAAAGCATCAAAAAACATACATTCTCAAAAGTCAAGGTGAAGCTGATACTTAAAGGCTTATTGTGCATAAGTGATCACTTTCATTATCACTCAGGATGTACATTTTAAAATAAATGTTAATGTTCCAAAGAGTATGATGCAAATATGTATGTAAAAATAGATGGATATACATATGTGTCTATATGTATAATTGTCTTCATTTGAGTAAGGACTTTAGTTTCTAAAGGCATCCTATTACTAAACTTTTAGATTTTAAACTTTGGCATAAATTTAGATAGGGTTTGTGTCTGAATGTTCAGATAATATAGAAAGAATACTTTGTGACCTCTAATAGCTAAAAATCATATCCAGAAGGAAAAGTAAATAGGCAGAGAACACAAATATCATGAGGTAAGCCTGCATTTCCAAGTGTCTAGTATGTACTTTTGTTATTGGTGGATGAATGTTATTTGTGGATTTATACAGTATTTCTTGTGTTGCTTGTGAAAAAGTTAGATGGGAATACCCTCTCCAGTTACCCCACCCCAATCCCTGAATTCAGAATTGCCGGTGAGAGGCTCTGTTTTTTCTCCACAGACACCCACCAGCCAGCCTGCTTCCTATGAGCATGGTGGATGGCCACCACCACTCCTCTCTGGCATCCTTCCTCAGGCCTTGATACTACCCCTGTATTCCCCCAAGCCTTATTCTGCCTTCCATCAAATCTAAGATTTGCCTGCTTCATGAAGGTTACTAACCAACCTCTCCCTTAACTTCGGTTGCTGCTTCTAAATCCCTTTCGTGTGAGCTGGGACTAACACCAAAATGAGTTTTTGTCAAAAGTTTACTTGTGAGTTCCTAAGTTGATTCTTTGGAACTTAAAACACATTTGTTTTTACAAAAACAGTGTCATAACTTGTGGTCAGGATAACTATTTGACTTCTGGTATTGCTAATTACAATACATTTAAATAAAAAGTAGAAGGGAGAAGAAAAGCATTACTGTATAGCACTCAAAATGACGTCAGAGTCACCATATCTATGCTGATAAACTTGGGAACCTATGCACCACCCATACTGTGATTTTTACCAGATAAGAAGGTCCACAATCCGCTATGCGAATGGAACAGTGAAATATGACCATGTTCTTTCTGCATGCAAAGAAGGGCTAGGGCAAAATGTTTGGGAAAGTGGGAGATCTTCACATAGGCTAGTGAGTGAGAGAAGATACAGGTCCTGAGTTACTTTTTCCCACTTCTGAATCCCAGAATACCTACAGCTTCTGTCTTGTGCCTTATCCTTGGGACCCAACCCACGTGAAAACCTGTCCAAAGACATAGTCGTAGAAGGAGGAAGATAATTCCAAGGGCCACTAGAGAGCAAGGGATTGAGAGAGAAATAGGGTAGTTCAAGGAGCACTTTTTCTACACTAGGTTTCCATTCAGGGGTGCCCCCACTTGTCTGTTGAGAGCTGCCTATTCATACATGTGCCCTGGATCACAGGGCAGGCCTACATTAAACTATGTACAGCTATCATTTTCAACCTTTTAGAGGATGAAGAAATCTGAAAATATAAAGAGCATAGGTTGAAACATTTAAAGTGATTGACATACTTTTTTCTCATTAAGCTAAAACAGCAAACGATGACAACAAACCAAAAAGTTAACAACATTAACGAAAGTCATCTTTTTGTATTTTCCAAACTCATAATTAAGAGACTATCTCTAGGAATCTCTTGGGGGGTTCTATAAGGATTTATTTCAGTTCCCTGTCTCCTCCAGTGTCTTAGGTGACATTGGAGTTAACCAGTAATTTACAGAAGATGTAAAAACCAAAAAATAAACCTTTATTCTCTCCCATGAAAGTACTTGAGAATAAAAATACTCTGCTCTGGGGCTTCAGATGTGTGACATTTTAACTTACATGTCAGCATAACCAGTGAGCTTTCTGATTGCTACATTCATCTTCCACACAGAGACCAGAAATGCTGCTCTAAGCATTCACACAATATTTTCCAAATTGCCAAACCCTTGGTATCACATCCATGCTGTCCTGTCAAAACTGTGAGCTGGTTAATTATCTTCCAGGGTTACCTTCTACTCAGATCAAAAGGCACTGAGAAAAGTACTTACTCCCTTGAGAGCACACCATTGGCCAGGATTCCTTTATATCGACTTATCCCTTTGCGCTGAAGCACACTGATCTGGCCACCCAGTTCATCTGCAATTACTCCTGCGTGGATGGCAGCTTTGCACAATAAAGAGGTCTGAAACACAGCAACAGCATCATGCAGAACTTACTTAAGAACACGCTTAAAATGCAGTTGGAATTTCCCATTTTATTTCTGTGGTCATTTATAGTAGTGGCCACTAAATGAATGAAGTCTTCTGATAATGTCCTTGTGTAGTTGCTTCCTTCACTGACCTGAACTGGGCCATGTGGTTTGCTTTGTTCTGCTACAAGTGCCGTGGACTAGCCAACTGCCACTCATGTGAGTGAGGCCACCTGAGACTCTCGTGTGGCAGTTAATCTCCCACGTGATAGCAGCCACAGGAGTGATTCTAAGCTAAGGGAGCTTAACAACCTATCATCAGTCTAAATTGCTCACCCACATACTCACCAGCAAGTAAAATGACTGTTCAAGTCACTGGGTTTTGGGGTAGTTTGTTAAATAGAAACAGATAACAGAGCCAGTTTCTTAGACTTGGTTTACCTACTAAGTATCATTTGAAAAGGTAAATCTTCAATGCCATAGCTCCACTTTTTAATTAATTTAGAGATTTACCAAGGCAACAAAACCACAATAGTTATGACAGCCACAGAACATGGAACAGAAAACTTAACGAGGGTCTTGGAGGGATGATGAGCACACAGCTTCCACCTCATTTCCTGAATCCCCTCAGAGAGAGTCAAACAGCCAGTGCCAGCTCAGCCCTCCATGATACTGAGGCTTCAGCAAGCTGCTGGCTGTTCTAACAAATCAAACAGAAGCAATTGACTAGCTCTGATTTACAGGTGGTAGTAGAACTGGAAATGGCTCTGTTGGAAAGAAGGGATACAGAGATGACTAGAATTTTTCCATGGGGTACCCAGGAAGCCTGGGGTCTCTGAGCACAGGCCTGTGTGGGAGGGTAATAAGGCAGTCAGACCCAAGACTGAGAGGATGAGAAAGATCATTTTCTTTTTTTCTTTTAATTTATTTCTTTTAAAGATGTGGAGTACAATTCAGGGTTAGGTATACAAATGTTCATTATGCAGGTACCCTTGTTGATGAGGTGTGCCCCCCTTCCCCAGCAGGTTCCCAATACTGCCAATCCCGCATCTCCCCCACCCTGGCAGTTTCCCACTACCGCCAATCTTTGAAAAAGATCATTTTCTAAATAAACTTTAGAGATGCTCCACTTCTCCATGACAGCTAATGCCAAGAGGGAAAAGCAGTTCATAAAATATGTTTCATAACTGAACTTATGAATTTCTCTTTGTGTTAATGACAATGCTGTTTACCTTATTTGCAGTAAAGTCCCCCTAGACTTAAATTAAAATATTAGTAGGACCAATGAGATAAATAATATTTTGTCATTAATATAGTTGCAATAAAATGCAGAACTTTTGTGATCTTCAATTTAGAAAGTTTATATTCCCCAAACCAGGTTAGATTTGGCAAAGTATGTCCGTTTTGCAAATAGCTGCTATCATAACCATAAAAGGGGAAAGATTTCATGACAGAAAAGAAATATGAGAATGCAGAAACACAGATGCAGATATTACTCTTCCTGATTTTGGAGGGAAAAAAACTTAAAATTAGAAGAAGAGAAAAAAATAGTGCTCTCCAATAAGAACACAGCTTGCATTTTTATTTTTTCTGATTTCATATTTTTCTGGTTTTCTTTCATTAAAAAGCTTTCTTATTACTGGTTTGGACTCTTGGAGGAGCCAGTTGAAAAGGAAAGTCTTGAAATTAAATTCATCAATTTAGCCTGTCATCCTTGCTCTGCTTCTAATTCCAGGAGGTCTGTCATTTCACTGCTCTTAACCTGGCTTCCCAATTCATCTGGACAATGAAAAAGATGGACTGGAAGTTGTCTAGTATCTTTTCTGAAGGTCACTCAAGTTATGATTCTAAATACAGAGGACCCATGCTGGCCTGTCTATCTCTCTAAGTCCCCAAATGCAAACCAAATAGCTTCAGTGGTCTGTTGGGCAACAATTCCCACTGTCCTTGGGATCCTTGGTCTTCATCCCAGGAGTCCTGCCCTGCGTAGAGCCCTCACTGGTCTTGGCATGGCCCAGGGTCTCATTGGTTACAAGAGGAAAGGTTCCCAGGCCAACGAGCAACAGGATCTAATAGCATCATTGGCCAACACATATTCTCATTTCCCACAGTACCCAGTATTGAGGTAATCCAATGGTATATTGGATATACCATTTTTGTGGAATTTATTTAACTGCAGCTTACATTTTTCCATAATGGTAAATGTAGGCCATAGGCTACATCTCCAAGAAAATAGTGACCAGATCTAGTTATTATATTTATGACAAAATTACCATCCTTTTCTTTTAAAAAAAATCACTACCTCACTCAACTTAAGCAAAATTGATGTTTACTTAAACTGTAGTTTTTTGGCATCAGTTTTTAAAATTTACATTCACTGAACCTGATTTTTAAAAAATGCTTTTTGAACAGTGGTACATTTATACTTTGATTTCCCAGTAATTATTGAAGTCTAAGTCTCACTGAAATTTAAATACAGGAAAGCCACATCACCTGGTCTATGCTAGTGAATTATCTTAAACAAAACTTATAAACTCAAACATACTAGTTAAATATAATAATCGTTAAGGAAAAGGAATACAATAGACAGCTGAAGAGAATGTGTGTGCATGGCCCAGACAATTGCAGGTGGACGGCATTATCTACAATAAACATTTCTGAAGTTCACTGAGCCATAAAAGATGGCCAAACAGATTAGCATAAGGTAAGACTAAAACAACATTCCAAGCAACTATCAAATCATTCCCAAATAGGAGCATTTTCTAAAATCCTTTAGAAAAAATCATCTTGTACTAAAACGTATGACAATGTATTAAAAGAGAATTTAATAAAAAAGTAAACATTTTAGAATTGTATTTAATAAAACGTAAATCAAAAACAGTAAGTAAGGTGGAAAAAAGCACATGATTTAAAATGTTGATTCAATGATAGTAAAACGTTATGTTATCAAAATATATTCCTCCATCTGTCATATGAATTGTTCCACATTAATAACATTTTATCCACAAAAGTAATATGCATTCTTTATAGAAAAGTTGACAAATACAGAAAATAAATCGCTCGTATTGTCACCATCCAGAGACAATCACCCATTGGCTTTCTATGGTGTGTACAAGAGGCCTAGTTTTTCCCCTTCTCTTCCTAACCTGGGAGCACCTTATATGTACTATCTTCCCCTGTTTTACAATACTTCCTTTTCCTTGGGAGAGAAGAATTACAGAAACAAGTTAATCAAGTGATGTGTTCTACTTAAAAATAGATGGTATAGTCAGTAGCCTGAAAGAAAGAAAGTGCCAAGAGAAAAACTGTTCTGGAGCAGACGAAGCAGATCTTAAGAGAAGCCAGAACGACTTCACTGGCATTGGAATAATACGCCAATTTGTATGCCTTAATTCATCAATCAAGGAGACAAAAATCACAGAAATTCAAAGATTCGAAAAGATCTTGAATGCTCCCTCCTCACCCCTCCTGACAGACTATCTCCATTCCCACCCACAGCACCACTTCCCACACAAATACAGTCTATTCTCGACAAATGGTGGTAACATCTTCACCTGACATTTTCCAGTGACTAGGAGGAGTCCACTGTTTTCTCGAGACATCTTATCCCACTTTGCACTGTTCAAATATTCCTTATATGCAGTGGAAATTGGCCTCCTGCTAACTTTTATTCACTAATCCCAGTTATGCCTTTTGGAGCAACACAGAATGAACCAATGCCTTTTCTGTAATAGCTCTGTAAGACAGCATATTCTTCCTGGAGACAATACCTGCTTTTTTGACAGCTCCTCCAGTTATTAATTTTATAGATTCTATAATCCTGACCTATACAATATGCTTTGCTTTTGCAAGGATTCTTCCAGAAAAGACTTACTACATAAAGGCACCATGGAGGCAGACTTCAAAAAAATACTCATGGCTCCTGACTCCTGGTATCCTTCCTTACGAAGTACCCCCGAGGGTGGGCAGGAGCTGTGACTTTCTTCTAATAAACCGAATATGGCAAAAACGGTGGGATACCACTCCTGTGATATCATCACATAAGATTGTGACCTGTTTTGTTAGGAGATTCCTTTGATAAAACAGCTTTTCTTTTATTTATTTTTATTAAAAAATGTTTTTTATTTTAAAAATGTAGGGTATAATTCAGGGTTAGGTATACAAATGTTCAACAAGGTGCTCTTGTCGATGAGGCGTGCCCCTTCCCCCCATTTTATTTTATTTTAAAGATGTGGAGTACAATTCAGGATTAGGTATACAAGTGGCCATCGTACAGGTAAAGTTTGGGCCTCCCATTTGTCCCCACTTTAGCTGGCTTGGTTTGGGACCAGGTACCCTTATTGATGTTATGTGCCACCTCCCCCGCCCCGGCAGTTTCCGGTTACTACCAATCCCTTTCTTATAGTCCTAGGGTAAAAGTTCAAGGGTCCGCTTATGAGTGAGAAAATGTGGTACTTAGTTCTTCGTTTCTGTGATAGATCACTGAGTATTATAGTCTCTAAATCCATCTAAATTGTTGCAAAGTCCATAATATTGTCCTTCTTTATGGCTGCAAGTATTCCATCGTGTATATGTAGCACATTTTTTTTATCCAGTCCACTTTCAATGGGCAGCATGGTTGGTTCCATGTTTTTGCTATTGTAAATAGTGCTGCAATAAACATGCGTGTGCAGGTACTTTTTTTGTAGAGTGATTTAAGTTCCTTCAGGTATATTCCCAGAAGGGGGACTGCTGGGTCATATGGAAGCTCAATTTCTAGTTCTTTTAGGAATCACCACACTGTTTTCCATAGAGGTTGAACTAGTTTGCATTCCCACTAGCAGTATAGAAGCATCCCCTTTTCTCCACCTCCTTACCAGTAATAATCAAATCATCCCAGAATTATGTCTTTTCTTAAATCTTCTACTGGGAAAATCAACTTCTACTAAAACATATTGATAATGTATCAAAAGAAAATGTAATATAAAAGTATTGTTGACTTTGAGAAAGTAAGTGGCCATGTCGGGAAGGCCCACATGACAAGGAGCCGAGGGTGGCCTCCAGGCAAACTCCAGAATGAAGTGGAGGTCCTCAGTCCAACAACCCACAAGTAACTGAATGCTGCCAACACCATGCCTGCTCAGAAGCAGATCCCTCTCCAGGCAAGCCTCAGATGAGACTGTAGCTCTGGCTGACACCTTCGTTGCACCCATATGAGACTCTGAAGCAGAGAACCCATGCCCAGTCTCCTAATACAGAGAAAAGGAGAGATAATACATATGTGTTGCTTTAGGCCTCTAAGTCTGTGTCAATATTGCTATGCAACAATATCTAATATACCTGCAATATCAACCTATACAAAAGAGGGCACTAACAGAGTTTTTGAAGAGAGTAGCTTTCAAAATATGAATTTTCTCTCCAGATAAAAATCATCCAAAAAGAAAATGGTACAATATCAACTATAAGTCAGATAGGAAACCTGTTTGTCAGCACTTGCAGATCAAGTACTCAGATCTACCACTCAGAAAACCATTTACCTGTTACAGTGAAAAAGTTTTGTGAGAAGATGAGACAAACATCTACAGTAAGAATAAAACTCTATTTCTCTTATTAGACATAATTCTTAAGCTACTTACAGAGAACTGGAAAACAATAAATACAAATTTTCTACTGCTAGGGGAAAAAAAACTACACTTCAATTTTTATTTCTCTTAGTTTCCTAAGGCCAGTAGGAATAGCCTGTGCCAAGTAAATCTTCAAGCTGGGGTAGTGTAAATCATTTTAAGAGTCAACAACTTATAGGCCAAATGAATACCCGGTATCAATCTTGTAAATAAAGACAATACAGGAAGCAAAAGGTAAAACAACAAAATCTGTACTCAGAATCAGAATGTGCTTAAAGCTAAAATTAAAGTCAAGTTTCTCTCCCACCTCCCGAGATGAATTCTCGAACTCCTAATATATAAATACTGTAAAGGCTATTTTTCCCCATGCATAAAGACATATGTCAATAACTGGAAGAATAGTTCCATTGCTATATAGATGTTCACATTTTAACAACTTAAGCCAATTCCCATAAGCCAGGCTATTCACTCAATTACTTTAAATAGCAATGCAAATTAAAAAAAAATCAGATACATTAAAAAAATCAGATAAATTAAAAATCAGATAAATTAAAAAAAATCAGATATTACAGAAATCTGTAAATAGAAAGAAATGAAGATATTATGCATCTGGAGATAGGACACATTGTTTAGAAAAATGATTTCCTGGAAACTTATTTTTCTCTGGAAACAATGTATATAACCCAGAGAGTCTCGCTGGGCATAAGAACTCAGGCGTAGGGCTGATGGCGTCACTGGACCCAGAACACAATGTCAGTATTCTGTGATGTGAATATTCACGTCCTTGGCTATATTACAGGTACCAATTGGAATGTTAAAGAAATAATACCCAAGTGTTGAAAAAATTTAGTTTTTCATTTCATTTCCAGGATGCTTAACTGGAAATGCTAGAAATAGGAATAATAGTTGTGGGTAACCTTGGTTGTTATACTTACTATTTCATTTCATTCATCCTCAGAGAAGGGAGACTTGTATAGAGTTTGAGATCTCACTTGATCTAAAAACTATATATTAGATATCAAAACTAGATATCTCATTTGACTTTAATTTACTTTGTAAAGCATTTAGGCAGAGTAACCAGCACTTAATTCCTTTTAATTCCTTCTCTGCCATTTTTCTCAATTACTTACATCTCTATATCCATCTACCATATTCCCAGAAATGTCTCCTGCTATGTCTCTGCAACCAGCTGGGCAGAATTTGCTGGAAAGAAAAATAAAAAATTTATATTTTATTAAATTACACTAAAATGAAAAAGTATTAAACTATACTTAAATTTGAAAAGTATTTTCTCTCCTCCATAGAATATGTGGGAACATCTTGCTTTAATAGCAAATTAGAAACTTGATTTGTGAAAACACAGACTGACCTAAAACATTAATCTAAAGACAATTTTTTACACAGTAATTATTTGCCTTATATAAAGATACGCCATAAACTCTGTTAAATAATGAGCTTCTCTAATGCATTTTAGTTAATTCTAAGACATTCTATATTTTTAAGAAAAAAGAGAAACTTTCTATACATTATATAGAGTATAATCTCATTTTATAAAAATATTTATAATATATAATAATGTATGTTTTCTATAGATTAAGAAAAGGCAAAGAAGAATATCCTTCTGGGAGTGGGACTATGAACTTTCACTTTCTGTGTTATGTAATGGAATGTCTTGATTATATTAGCACTGTTGTAAATAGTTTTATTGAAACACAGTCATACTCATTAGGTTACACATTGTTTATGGTTGCTTTTTTGCTACAACATTAACAGAGATTTTTTATGAACAAATGCCACAGGGACTGTATGACCTGCAAAACTTGAAATATATACTATGTGTCCCTTGATAAAAAATGTTTGCTGATCTCTTGTGCATAAGAACATATCTCAACTATTCTTCATTAGTTACAATAGGAATAGTTTTTTGAAACTAAGTACAAATAAGGTACTTTATCTGATTTAATGTCAAGGAAAACAAAATGTTCAGCAACATATGACTGTAGTACAGTCAGGACACCGATATTTACCTATATTCTGTCTTTAAATAATGGGTAGCTCGTTCCAAACATGTGATTAAATCTGTCACAAATAAAGATAGTTGCAATTAGGAGACCAATGGAAATTAGGACACACACCACAAATATTTCTTTTTAAATAAAAGACAATTTCTTAAAAAGCATTTATTCAGTATCTAGTTATATGAATTTTGCTTTTTAAAAACAAACATGTGGCTGGGCTTAGTGGCTCAGCCTGTAATCCTAGCATTTTGGGAGGCCAAGGTTAGTGGATTGCCTGAGACTGCGGGTTTGAGACTAGCCTGGGGAACTTGGCGAGATCTCATCTCTACAATAAATAAAAAATTAGCCGGGTATGGTAGTGCGTGCCTGTATTTCTGGCTATTTGGAAGGCTAAGGCGGAAGGATCGCTGGAACCCAGCAGGTCAATGCTGGGGTGCCACTGCACTCCAGCCTGGGCAACAGAGTGAGACTCCAACTCAAAAAACAAAACAAAACAAAACCAACACTGAGAATCACTGGCTCCAGTATTCAATCAGTTCCTTTCATTTCTCTTTTCTGTTACTCATGATGATTTTTTAGCATTATTGTCTAGTAAACAATAATAGAATCTATTTTCAACAGAAAAAAACAACACTGGTTAGTAGCTATCTACTAAATGCCTACAAAGATCATGTTTATAACCTCTCCTGGCATGAGGAAAACAATTTCAAAAGCCCAGCAAAGATCATAGAGAAGCTTTCCAGGAAAATTTTAAAAATTCATTATTTAATTTTTTTAGAGACAGACTCTTGCTCTGTTGCCCAGGCTGGAGTGCAGTGGTGATCATAATTCACCGCAGCCTCAGACTCCTCCAAGCCATCTTCCCATCTAAGCCTCCAGAGCTATTAGGACTGCAGGCAGGCGCCAGCATACCAAGAACATTTTAATTCGACAATTTAGTCAGTAGCATCCAGTGACACAGAAGCAGACCAAGAATACCAACAGCATATTACCTTTGATCAATCAGGACCAAGTATTTAAAACAGAAGGTGCTCTCTGGAGTAATTTACAGAACCAAAGAGGCTAAGATACTGTGAATCTTGATGCATTTAGATTAACAGAATACAGTTTTCAGAATATTCCACACTTGCTGTAATAGTTTTTCTCTCCATATTCAATAGTTTTTCTCTCCATATTCAATAGTTCTTAGGGAGCAGCATATGGTGAACACTAGCCATGCTGGGTGGGGTCTGCTGTAATTAGTCAAAGTTGATAAGAGGGACATGAATGGCATACTTCTCTCCCAGACTATTTCTTCCAGAGGGGACTGAGAGCAGAAACCCTGGGTACCTCTGTGACCCTGGGCAGACATGGAGTGGGCTACATAGTAGCTACTCTGAAGCATAAGAAGCTAGGACAGGAGTCCCCGTTTTTCTCTCTTATCAGTGCTCATACTTCCCGTTCCTTCTCTTCCAGCTGAGTCTCAGCTCCATAGTTATTGCACTGTGTGACAGTGACTTCCTCATCCTGAGCATACTGTGCATATTTCCCATGCTGGTGCACTGGTGTGTATTGGGGATGCGGGTCCCTGGTGAGAAGGCCTAACACTTGAGCTAGGAAGGAGGCTGGGAGAGGGCTCCAAAGAAGAGCCAGACCTTAGAAAGGTAAGGAGGGTAACCTCAAGGGTGAGTTAACCAAGGTTTCTTGGAAAAATGAGATCAACCTATCCCACATGAATTCACTGATCAATCTAAGGTGTGAAAACATGATTCCATTCAGACCTAACTACTTAAAATATATTATGTTCCTCTCTTCCCTTATATCTTAATTCTGCATCTGAGACTACAACTGTCCAGGGATGGTGACACGTAGTCAGAGGAATTCTTAGACGGATAAGAATAACAGATTTATATTGATTCTTCCACTATACCTGGATGATCACTGCTGGCATAGGTCAGCAAAAAGCCCCGACCAGAAATGTGGGATCCACTCTCAAAGCGGACAGTTACTTCACTTGTGTTCAGCAAGATCTCTTTGGGAACAATCATATTTCCACAATATGGACCTAAAAGCAAAGTACGTTGGTGGCACATTTCAATATCTACACCAGCACAAAGAATGGGTATATGGTTTCTTCCCCCCCCAAATGTCACACTTACCAGACAACACATATGTAAGATTCTAATCTTTACCCAATTGAAATTTTGCTTGACACTGAGACTAATAATTTGTGACTAACTATGAACTTGATTATACTCTTAAACCAAGGAGGGACAGTGGCTTATCCCAGATAGGTAATAGACTGGAACTAGTCAGTTGTGAACAACCCAAGACATGGATTTGGTTTTTTGTAAAAAGCAGACAAAGGTCAAAACATTAAGTAGCAAAGAAAATTTTATCTCAAAATTGATGTTCTAGAGGTCTCCTAAATTTGCTTGAAGAAGCTAAAAAATTATCTTTTTTCAAGGAGATTCCAAAATGAAAAGACTATCTAGTGCATGGTAAGAATCTTACTCACATGTAGTGTATACATTTGTCTCTCTCACAGTAACTTCTGATGAAGTCATATGCATTATTTTTATTTGCAACATGAGGTTTATAAAAGGCAGAATAACTTCTAAAGGCTTTTGAAATACTACAGTATAAATTATACAATTAGGGTATAACACTGTTTCTAGAATAAGTTGCTTGAAAAGCAATAGGAAGGTCAGTGAAATTTCAAAGAACAAAATTAGATTTAAAGCTTAAGTAACAAACAAAAAAATCTTCATAAGATTACTCAAGTTAAAGTTTAGCTTATAGACTGTCATGTTGAAAGTCACATATACAAGATAATTTATATGAAACTGGGATTTGCAAGCAACTTTTGAAGAGAGGTATTCTTTACCAACTTCTCTCAAAATAAAATATGGAAATAGCCAATAGCAACAAGAATAACAACGATCTGGTTACCTAAGGAGGTATAGTGAAAGAAAAAGGCCACTCCAAGTCAATTTGAATAAAACTGGTCTACACTAACCAGAACCAATATAGGGACCAAACTGTTAAAGTTTTAAGGCCAGGTTCGGTGGCTCAGGTTCGCTGGCTCAAGCCTGTAATCCCAGCACTTTGAGAGGCTGAGGTGAGAGGATTGCCTGTGTCCATGGGTTTGAGACCAGCCTGGGCAACTTGGCAAGACCTCATCTCCACAACAAATCAAATAATTAGTCGGGTGTGGTAGTGCACGCCTGTAGTTCAGGCTACTTGGAAGGCTGAGGTAGAAGGATCCCTGAGCCCAGCAAGTTAGCGCTGGGGTGGCCGTGAGTGTGCCACTGAACTCCAGCCTGGGCGACAGAGTGAGACTCCAACTCAAAAAAAAAAGATTCAGAGATTCAGAAGATCATGAATACAACTCTCCTGTTACAAAAAATCAAATTTCTCTTCTGTTCTGTCTAGGTTTCACATTCTGAATATCTGATAGAATAAGAAAGACAAGTTGTGTGCTTAACTTCACATGCCAAATGTCTGGTGTTCCCTAAACTAAATTATAATGCAACCCAAATAAAAAATGATCACTTTCCCCTTTAGAAACACTCATCACATATAATTACCTACGTGAGTTAATACTTGCAAATTACTTAGAATAGTATCTAGCACACAGGGAGAGCTATATTAAGTGCTTGTTAAGTAAATGACTACATTAAAAAACAAATTAAAAAGCCGGGCTCGGTGGCTCAGCCTGTAATCCCGCGCCTTTGGGAGGCTGAGGAGAGTGGATTGTCTGAGCCCGCGGGTTCGAGACCCGCCTGGGCAGTGAGACCTCATCTCTACAATAAATCAAAAAATCAGCTGGGCGTGGTAGCGCGCGCCTGTAATTCCGGCTACTTGGAAGGCTGAGGCGGAAGGATCGCCAGAGCCCAGCAGGTCGAGGCTGTGGTGGCCAGGAGCAGCCACTGCACTCCAGTCTGGGCGACAGAGTGAGACTTCAACTCAAAAAAAACAACAAAAAAACCAAAAAAAAAAGACAAATTAAAAAGTCTGCTTTCTCTTTAGACGTGTTCCTTGGCAAGGAATGATTATATTCATCCCTTTATCTCCAGCAGATTGTATAGTACCTGGTAGGTGACAGATGCCCAAATACTATCTGAATTTTCAGGCTGAAATGTTGTTCTATTTATAGCAGTTTGTAAAACCCAAACTCAATTAGAACGATACAGTATTTTTCATTTTGTTATTTTGAAATACTATGGAGAAGTCAGGAAGAGAAGTGTGGAGAAGCAAGAAAATAATTAATGTAATGAATAATATGGATTTTTATAAACTTTAATATTACTTAGCAGATAGGCAATTTAACAAAAATTATTTTTATAAAATGAAATAGAATAAGCATTTTTGTAAGATTAAGGTGAATCTGATTGCTATATTTGACTTTTCCAACATATTCTGTTTGTTCTACATATGTTTGAAAATCTTTCATTTCCTGTACAGATAAGAGGTGTGAAGATCCTTGGTTTGTAAACTGAAGGATAAAAGAAACTAACTAGTAATTTGTTGCTATTAATAATTAGAAAACTTTTCCACCCACATTTTTCTTTTATATTTATCCACAAATATACTTCTCTCCAAATGGTGACGATACTAATCTTTCCTTAAGTTCTATAGCATATTCCAATGAGTTCTAATAAAGAACTGTGAGGTAAGTAAGTCTAAACTGATTATCAGTAAGAACTTGTTTGGATATTTTTAAAAAGATTTTATGGAACTGTTGAAAGGAAAAGTTGCAAAACTGTACTTAAAAGTGTATGTCATCAGGCTAAATTGTTGTGCAATATATATGATTTCCTAGACCAAAACTATAAATATAGTAAAACTCTAATTTGGTTTATCCTCCCAAAGTTATGATACATATATAAATATTTCTGGAAGAAGTTCAAAGGAAGAAAATATAAACACACACCCCTTTAATTACCCTTACTCCATAGATACCGATCCCTTTCATTTTCTTATTAACGTGCTAAAAAACTGTAACTAAATCTTAGATAGGAAATACCCTCTCTATATAAACGTCATCACTGAGAGTTATTTTGATAGCTTCATCACAATCTCAATTATCACAATAGCAATTTTAGTTCAGGATAGGGGATAGAGTTCATTACAGGCTATAGTACTGCCTATGGCAAAATATCCAAATATTGCCTGTCTCAAGGTTTGACAGATGAGATTCCTTTTCATAGACTAGAGGTTAATAACTACATTCTTAGAGTTAAAAGTGGAAAGAGATAAAAACGGAAAAAAGTGATGGCAGTGAGAGGGAAAACTAATTCATGGGAAACCATGAAAAGACTGTAGGAGTCTGTCCTAAGCATTGCTAGCAGTTTTCAGTGAGATTCCCTTAAGGGTGATGTCTCTTCTTTTGAAAGCTTTTTTTCCACTTCATCCCTGTCCAACTGATATACTTCATGGTTGGTACTCTCCATTCTGATTTTTAAAAGGGTCTTCACCTATATTTAAACATTAAAAAAAAATTTTTCATTGGAAACTCACATGAGAGCTTGGTGGCTTCTAACTTTGACCATGGTTATATTCTCAGGCCTGGGCAGTGTTCTTAGATTGGCAAAGCTGTCTCAATTCACGGTCAGACTGAATTCAAAGCCCTCCCTAAAAAATAGGATTCATGCTTCTGCATGGATGTTTGCTTCAAGGAGTGCAAGTTTTATAGCACTTGGACTTGCCATCTAACCTCTCATTTTCCTTCACCTCTATCTATCCTTGTCTGAGAGGAACATTCCATCTTACTCTGTGGTCACAAATTCCCATCAGACTGAGGCACAGCAGTTCATCAAGTAGGCAAAAAAATCAAGAAAAAAGAAATCCCTCTCTCTTTTGTGGAATGTAATTGGCAGCCCTAGACTGTGGAAAGAGCTATTGGTGATACCAAATGGAATAGCACTGTGGCATTTGGCACCAGACATGAGACTGAGACATGGAAGACATGGACTGATTCCCTTAACAAAGGGAATAAAGAGCCAGGACCTGTAGGAGTTGACTTCTTTGAGCACAGCAGGCCAGTTCCTCACAGCACATTCCCTGTTTGGAGCTACTGTTCCATTAGCAGCTGAGAAGGAAGCCCTTTATTTTTCCATGTGTGAATAAAAGAAAGCTGTCCTACAAGGAAGGATAAACTGTCTGCCCCAAGCCAAGTCTGGAATCCTCTTGGTTCTCTGGCATTCTGGCAATCTGTGCAGCAACTTATGGCACTTCTACTTTTTCCAGGGTCTGTCCACCCAAGAGTCTGAGTATTGCAAGGTAATGATAATTTGTTAAAAATGGTTTCAGGTCACATCAAGTAGATATATCACTTTGATCTTGAAACTGAGGAAAATAAGTTATTGTTCTGTGTTAGAAGAACATGTTTTAAAAATGGTATGCAAGCCGATAAAAAAACAAAGACCTCCCCTCCTTTTTATAATCACATGGTCAGTGGTAAAAACTGCTGAGAGACCAAATCTCCTGAGAGATTTGCCATAAATCAAAAGGAACAACAACAACAAAAACGCTTAAAGCCCTCATTTAACCTTATGGAGCATCTTCTCAAGCATTCATTTCCTATGAGGCATGACAGCAAGCCAGACTTGATCTAATGGCTCTCCCAGGAGAGGATGCCACAGGCAGAGCCGGCCACACAGCGCAGTCCTGGAAAGTGGTGCCCAGCGAGGCCCAAGCCATGCTCAGAGGCGCGCTGATAAAGCACCCTTCAGAAACTGCAGACACCATTTGATTTGTGTCCATTTTCCATTTGTGTTTTCAGTGCAGTCAAATGGCAGGTTTTGTCCTTGCTTGCTAATTGCAGTTGAGTCTTTGTACCAAATTACAGAATTTTCAGGGCCATTTTCTTTGAAAAGGAGAGACATTAGCATTAAAAAGGGATATTCCTAGGCTGTGCCATTAAAACCATAGTCACGTAACAATGTAAGTGGTATCCCTGGAGAATTCGGGTCTCTGGTTCCCAGACAAAAATCAGTGACAGGTGATAAATGAACCAGGCAGATTCCTAGACAAAGGTGCGGCTTTCCCTGGGACTAAGGG